CTCCACGGTTAAAATTGGCACTTTTCCTTCTTTTTCTCTTAGACTAGTTTCCACGTAAGGCTAGAGATGTCAGTCTACTTTGTTATCTAACCCATAGTATGAAAAGAAAAAACGGATTCATGCCTTTCTCAAGGATATCTGTGTGAAAGTGAACGCAACAGACTATCAAAGAGTTACTTTCTCCGCTGTTCTCCGTTACACAGCACGCACATCCCACATACACAATAATCACATTTAAACATGCCCGGCAGTTAATTCAAATTAAGGTGCACATTCATATAATCATGTGGAAAGAAGGATAATAAAAAAACAATAGAAATATAAATGAAGCAAGTATTGGTAATGGAGTTTATTTGGTTACAGAAGTTTATCATAAAGATGAGTATGTTCAAGAGTAAAGGGAGATAAGGAAAAAAGGAAAAGAGGCGATAAGAAAGAGAAATAGATTTTGTGAAGAAGAAGAAGAAGAAGAAGAAGAAGAAGAAGAAGAAGAAGAAGAAGAAGAAGAAGAAGAAGAAGAATTGGCTTTGAAGGAAAATGACATTGGGGATGAGGTTGTCATAAGAAAGAAAATATGGCGTTGAAGAAATGCATAATGAAAACAGAGCATAATGAAAAAAAGAAAGGAAAATGGAGGAAAAGAAAAAGGAAATGAAAAAGTAAGGAAAAAGAAAGGAAGAAAGAAGGAACAAATAAAAGGTGGAAGGATGAAAGGAATGAAGTAAGGAAGGAAGGTAGGAAGGCAAAAAAGAAGGTAGGAAAGGAAGGAAGGAAAGAAAAGAAGGCTAGGGAAGAAGAGAGGAATAAAAGAAAGAAAGAAGATAAGTTCATAATAGTAATGAAGGTAACAGCAAATATAAAACTAACATAAAGATGAAGGCGAAAAAAGTTAATGATAGCACAAGAAAGACAACGGTGAAGAAACACCAGGAAAATGGTAAAAAGGAATAAAAAAGCTGATGAAGAATAGAGAAGGAAGTCAAAGGGCAATAAAAGAGAAAAACGGAGAAGAAAAAGAAGAAATAGTGGCAGAAGACAGAAGAAGAAGAAGAAGAAGAAGA